ATATATATATATATATATATATATATATATATATATATATATATATATATATATATATATATATATATATATATATATATATATATATATATATAAGGCTAAGCTTTTATGTTCGGACAAAGAAACTTAAGAATAATTATTGAAATTATAATTGTTTAGTGTTTTTTTTAATGTAATAATTATAAAGGAAAACATTATTTCTTTCAACTTGGACATTTTATAAGAAAAATTTTTTATACATACATACACTGTCGATGGAACAGGATAGGAAAGGGAGAGGGACGGTGTGGAGGTGGCGATAGCCCCTTCCTCCCCAGCTATTGGAGAATTTCTGCTTTTTCTAATCAAATTCTGATTCTGGCTGCCTTAGCCCACCTTACATTCCGTTTTAGCCCCTTTTCAAACTTTTTTGACCTTCCAACGCCACTGCATTTTACATACATACATACATACATACATACATACATACATACATACATACATACATACATACATACATACATACATACATACATACATACATACATACATACATACATACATACATACATACATACATACATACATGCATACATATTCACATACATAGATTTTCTTTATTTTATTTCAGAAAAACATGAAAAAAAAGAGAAAGAAAATTCTGCTTCTGAAGGTAATTTTTTATTTGTTATTTTAAAAACTCAAATGCTTTTTTATGATTTTTTTATAGATTTAGAGTATTATAAAAGTAACCAAAAAAAGTAAAAATTAGTCAATTTTACATAAATTATAGAGTTTATATACCAAAAAATACCTGCACAAAAACGTTGCCTTAGGTTTTTTCTTTTACTTATATAATAAAAAAGCATTGAAAAAACAATCTCTCATTCTAAAAAATTTTAAAAAAAAACTTGCATTGAGCAAGTTGCACATGTTTTGAATTTCTATTGCTAATTTCTATTACTAATATTATCTATATAGATAACTCTAATTAGCTTGTTATTAAAAAAAAAGTGCTTCTTTTTTTTTGCTAGGTTGCTAAATTGTCTTAATAGTTTTTTAAAGTAAAAAAGAATTTTAAAATATATTTTTTTAGCCAGACACTTCACATACCTTTCATTATTTTATCGACATACCTCTTAATACTTTTCTAATTGTTTTTTCGATTTAAAAAATTGTTGAATTGCTCACAGTAATCTGTCCTGTTCTAGAGTCAAAGATAAGTGAAGCCTCGAAATAAATTTTTTAAAATTATGGCTAATTGCAAAAAATATTTTTTTTATTAAACGCAGACACTTTTTACAACTTCAACTTTTTACTAAATTATAATTTAGTTAAAATATATGTGTCAACAAAATATTTTATTTTTTGCAATTATCTAAAATTGATGCTAATTGTAATTGTAATAAAAAATTAAGTAAAGCAATATAGCATTTTGTAACAATAGGCCGGGTAAATAAAAATGAGCTATTGCTTTTACTCAGTAATTGGTCAGCTTTGCGTGAATAAAAACTTCAGCAGTTTTGTTTAAAGTTTTAATCACGTAAAGTTAAGCAATTTGCTCAGTAATTGCTCAGCACTACGTAAGTAAAAAACTGTAGCAAATGTCCTAAAGTTTTTATTTAGTAAAGCTGACCATTTATTGAGTAAATGCAATTGTTTATTTTTATTCTCCCGGCCTAATTCTTAGCGTTTGTGAGCATGTTTAAAATAAAATATATAATAGGTAATATATAAAAGAGCAAAAAACTTAGACAAAAGCATTTCTTTTAAGAAAGGTAAAAAAAATATATATACTAATATATTAAAAATAAAAAAATAAAAAATTGATATTAACTAAAATTTACTAAGATTATTTTACCAGAGAATTGGTAAACTACTTTTAATAATTTATTATCAAAGTATTGGTAAAACCTTAACCCTAATTGTTAAGTATACTAAAAAAATACAGTTGATTTTGGTGTAGTACAGTACAGAATAACCAGCATAACAAATTGTACTTTTTTTTAGCTGTCGAACTATTTGAAGCTGATATAGTAAAAACCCCAAAACTAATGGCACGAATTAATAGGATGAAAAGAAATGAAAGTGAAGAAAGTCCATTTGACGCAATTCAAAACGGAGCATGGCCTAACGCAATAGTTCCTTACGTGATTACAAATATGATGAGTAAATTTTATTTTTACATTTAACAATAACAGTTTTATTGAAGGATTAAAAAATGTATAAGTTCTTTATGAATATGATTTTTTAGCTCAACAAGATCGTTATGCTATTGCTGAAGCGATTAATGAGTATAAGCAAAAAACGTGCATTAAATTTGTTCCAAGAACCAATGAGCCTTCATATGTTAATTTCATAAAAGCTGGAGGGTTAGTAAATAATTATTAAATTTATAGGTGTTTATGTGTTAGGGTGAGTGTGTATTGAATTTGTAACTTTTGTATACAAAAGTTGTTGTTGTTTAATTGCAGACAACCAGCAAATAGCAGAGGTGTCCTAGATAACACATAGGCGTTGGCCTATTATTGATATAAAAGACTTTGGCAAGACATCAGTCTTGCCAAAGTCTTTTATATCAATAAAAGGTAATCTTTAAATTTTAACTATGCGCAGGCCTAACGATAAAAAAAAAATACTAACCACGCGTATTAACGTATTTCAAATATTTTAGAATATGAAATTTCTCAACACGCGTGGTTAATATTGAAAATTTGAATTAGTAATTGTAGTAACTGAAATATTCATTTACGCATTAAAAATTTCTTTTGCGACACTATTCCTTTTTTTTGCTTTCGACACTATTCATTAAACTCCTTTGTGACATTATTTTTTGTTCTGTTATTACTTGCGACACTATTCCTTTTTTACATTTTCGACAATCAAATTTGCGACAATCGAAATTTTGCGACACTATTCCGCACACCTCTCAAAAGTTTCTTTCAAAAAAACACCCAAAAACCTTTTTAAAAAGTTTTACAAAGTTATAAGTTGATAATGGTGTTCTGCTTATAATCAACGACCTCGTACAAAAAAAATATGCAGATTAAAAAATAAAAATAAAATATAATAGAAAACACCGAAGTTATTGGTATAAGCTTGACAGTTTGATTATTGGTAAGAAAACATAATAATGGATAATAATAAAATAAGTAAGAAAACACAATAAACCTCCAGATAATTACTAAGTGAAATGTCTTAGATTGTTGAAAACTTAATTACGTTTTGTTAAACAACTTAAACCTTACAAAACATCTATAGATATTTTTTGTTATTTCGAAATGAGAAAAGAAGTTGTCTAATTGTTTAAGAAATCGTATTAACGAAATGAGACAAAACATCCCGTAATTACAGAGCATTGGATATAGAAAAAAAAAACTTGCAATTACTCTACTACCTATACAACCTATTAAAAAGTTAGTATGCAGAAATATAGAATGGCCATGGACCATTCTATATTTCTCTACCGAAAACAGAGGCAAAATGAGGCAAAAGGTCACTGAGTTTGAATTAAAGTATGGTATGATTCAAATATTTGGGTATATAGTTATTACTTATGTGTCAATATCAGGTCTAGTAGAAACTTTCAGAATAATGTTTTTATAAACAAGAACTTTGCAGAAAATGCAAGAAGAAAATGCAAACCGTGCAAAATTACTACAGATAAATTTTGTAAACTTATTTTTAAATAGCAGATGAATTTTGCAAACTTTTTTTATGTATTCAAATGAGTCATAGTTGTGGTTCAAGAAAAAAAATTTAACATAATACATTAAGTTTTAAGCACAATTGATGCTACCTGCAAAATACATCACTGGAACTGCAGGGTTTTTTTATTTAACTCAGACTGTATTTGATCTAAAAAGACGTCTTTTGAACGTTTTTTGAACGTTAAAAATACGTTTTCTTTTTTTGATAAACGTAAAACAAAGATTGAAGGAGGTATTTGCAACATTGCAATTTTAACGTATTATTTATAGGTAAGGCTATGTTTCCTCAAAAAGCAAAAAGTGTTAAAAACAAGGCGCTGAACAAGTTGGATAACCATTACGGTCAATTTGTTTGTAATAAGTTTTCTAAAATTAAATACTAAGCACATTCCTATAGTTTTTATTCTTTGAAACATAAATCTGAACATATTACAATATGTTGCACAATATCCTGTTAAAAAAGAAGAGGTAAAATGATAGAAATGTTAAAAACATCAAACTCAACTGATTATGTTAAATTTGAATTGCCCTTAAGGTTTTATAACAATATTTTAAGAGATCTTTATGATACAAGACTTTATGGACAATATGTTTTGAAAGTTTTTAGATATTAGCAAATAGTGCTCTAGACAATTGAAATTATCACAAGATGCAATAGATTCAGTAAATAAAAATACGTTTAAAAGATAGAAAAGAAAAAATTTTGACCTTTTTATAGCTACAGTAAAACATTATTTTTTATTTTACGAAATTTTAAATTTAAAGGTTTTTATAATCAAATCACTACGAAGTTTTGTCTTAACAAACTAAAATGACTTAAACGCATTCTTTGTTATATAAAGTTATAATTGATTTTTTTGTATCTTATATATTTTATTTATATATATAGATTATTTATACTTTTTTTGGCTAAAAAATAAACAAGTAAAAATAAAAAAATAAAAAAAACAATTCTCTTAAAAAATAAATTTGTGAGAAATATATTTATGAACAAATGTATAAATAGCACAAAAAATAAAAAACTTTTTTTTCCTGATGCCGAGCATTGATTTTGAATATGCAACTCATTTTACATCATTACGTCAATTTGTAAAAATATTTGGGTTCACACCTTTCGCATTTGGGGTAAAATCCCTAATATTGTCAAAAAAACATTTTAAAAATAGTATTTGCTTTTGATAATAATGAATACTTTTTATATTATTACTAAAAAACATTTTGTAAAAAGTCTTTTAAGAGTCTTGAGCATTTTTTTACAATATTTTTTTGGTAATAAATTTTAAGTAAAATTGTTTTTTGTTTTCTAAATTCTCTTTGAAAATACACTTCTTTTGAGACCAGAGAAACTATCAGGAGGCTGACAGCATGCATGCTACAATTGAAAGAGAAACTAAACACCAAGCAGTATATTACACTTGTGAATGGGAAACGGTTCTTCATAAAGTCAAACCCAGTGAGCACAGGGACGTACAAAAAACGTACAATTAACGTTCAGACCGAAAGACTCAGACTCGTTCAAAACTTTCAGGATAAAAAGACTTAAATAAGACTTAACGTTTAAGTGCAGTTATAAAAAATTGGTCTAGAAAATACGTCTCTTAAACGTTCAAAAGACGTTCTGAACGTCTTTTGAACGTTTAAAAGACATTTGTCATGCGATGAGCGTACCCCAGCAATCACAGATTTTGTAGGCTATATATAAGGGTTTTGGGGACAAAAATTTAACATTTAGAACACTTAACAGAAACGGCAACCAGTGTGCTTTGTTAATTAAAACAAATAAAACACAAATAAATACTTCAAATTACAGATCTGAAAAATATCATAAAAAACTGTTGTCGTGGTTAGTTTTTCACGGTCACCACCGCCTTTTCAATCTGGCGCTCTTTTCAAGCTCTTTTCATCTCCAGCGCAATTTTCTCGTTCTCGTTATACATGTGCATGGTCTCTGCAAAATACTAAAAAATATACATAAATAAGATTTATAGAATATAAAGTAAAGAATATAATAAAGATTCAATCAAGTTAGCTTATGCAAATGTGAAGACTAATTGAACTATTATTATTATTATTATGTAACAAGACTAATTGAACTATTATTATTATGTAACAATTGCAGACAGAACTAGCTAATCAAAAAATGATAAAAACAAACTTTCCCAGATACACCTCATGCAAAGAAATTGTGAAAAAGACCATAATGCCAGACTGTTATGTTTTAACAAAAAAAGGACAACTTATTATTATGCTTAATATAATAGTTTGATCTTAAACGTGAAACCAATAAATCAATTAATTTTATAGTTAAATTTTTAAAAAATAAAAAAAGCTTACCTTATCCTTTAAAGATCATAATCAACCTTATCATTTAAAAATCATATTTAAGGGTCTGCAAAATAATGAGTTTTTCCAACATTCTATATTCAGATATCTATTATCTATTTAAATGCTAGAATAATTAAAAGTATTTTTGTTCTAAAAAAGGCAAAAGAAATACCGATTTCCGTTGATGCGCAACTATTAGTAGTTCAATTTTTCATCAATTTTTTAAAATCAATTTATAAGGTCTTAGTAAGTTTTGCAAATGGGCTCCTTATAGACCGACAAAAAAATTTTATCAGATTTGTTTATGAAGTTTGACATCTTTTTCGCATTCACATCCAAATTTAAAAAAATTGATATATATATATATTTATGTATGTATGTATCTATATGACAGCGGGTTTTAGGCTACAGAATACATCACTAAAGCTACACTATATAGGCTACGCCGTTATCAATATCGTGTGGCTCTAATCTTTATTAATACAATTATATATATATATATATATATATATATATATATATATATATATATATATATATATATATATATATATAATATATATATATATAATATATATATATATATATATATATATATATATATATATATATGTATATATATACATATATATATTTATATATATATATTTAGCATATATATATATATAATATATATATGTATTATATATATAATATATATATGTATATATATATATATATATATATTTTATATATATATATATATATATGTATATATATATATTATATATATACATATATATATTATATATACATATATATATTATATATATATAAATATATATATATATATATATATATATATAATATATATATGTATATATATATATATATTTATATATATATATTTAGCATATATATATATATATAATATATATATGTATTATATATATATAATATATATATGTATATATATATATATATTTTATATATATATATATATATATATATATTATATATATACATATATATATATTATATATATACATATATATATTATATATATATATAAATATATATATATATATATATATATATATATATATATATATATATATATATATATATATATATATATATAGTATATATATATATTTATATATAAATATATATATATATATATATATATATATATATATATATATATATATATATATTCATATATATATATATATATATATATATATATATATATATATATATATATATATATATATATATATATTCATATATATATATATATATATATATATATATATATATATATATATATATATATATATATATATATTCATATA